TTTAAGGAAAAGAGCACTCACTAGTCTGGAGGTCAGAAGACTTTACAGTGCAGGTTTTTTGCTACTGAACTCTAGGGATGTGACATTGAGCAAGTGTTTTAATCTCTTTGTGCCCTGGTTTCTATAACTGGAGATAATGGAAAGAGATGCCCTTCTCATATTTCATGGAGACAAAAATGATAACGTAAATATTCTATAAAAATGTATAGGAAACATGATGGTTATGATGATGATAATGATAAAGTCTTTAAGTGTCCTTTTTAAATACTGAAAATCAAAAACAACAAAGTGAATTGAAACTATCTTTTTTAAAGAATGTATTTTGCAAGCCAACTGTAGTGAGTCAAATTAACAGACATTGAAATCCATTGGGAAAACCCACTGGAAACTTGTATTTACTGATTTTTGCAAGGCTGAGTTTTCAGTTAGGTTAAAGGTTTGTTTTTCAAAAATTCTGTGACTGCTTAGCTTTTGTAGTAACAAGGAAAATTGATGGGGTGAAATCCATCATATGAGGGGATCATATGGGTAGAAGAATGGGTTAAAGAGAACACAGGGCAAGTATTTGGTAGGTGTGGGAGCAGAGGAGAATCACCTGTGCCTATCACGCGGCTGTAGAGAGGGAAACCTGGTCAGGCCCGTAAGAAAGTGTTTCGGAGCTAAGAGAAAATTCTCCCCATCACTTGAACAGTGTCAGCCTGGCCACACGATTGTTGTCCCTCTCATTCTGAAGGATTCCGGAGTCCCTTGGACTGACATTGTGAGTTAACTTTAATGGATGCTCCTCTAATTGTGGTAGGTGGTTACAAAGAGAGCCCAATTTTGTTGTTTGTGCAGAATGCCTTTCTGAGATTTCAGGAGGCCAGTTCTTTAAAGATGTTTTAATGGGATGTGAAAATGGAGCTGTTTACTTTGCAATGGTAGAAACAGAAGTTATGTTACCTTGCAGTGTAGGAAGTCAGCTTATATTAAGAACTGTGGATATTTACTGCTCTGTTTTTATATGGCAAAAGCCTGTAAACTACCTAAATGCCCAACAGTGGAGGATTGAATAATCACTTATTGTTGGTCCATGCAATATCCTAGAATGCAATCCACCCATCCACACATACATAATTTTATTTAAAGAAAACTTTTTGTATTGTATTGTTGTATATACATTGTTTATAAGCATAGAAAAGGTATGGTAAGGGACTTTTTTTGTGTGCTGAAATATACATAAAATTTAAGATTTTAACCAGTTTTACTAGTGGTATTAAATAAATTCACATTATTATGCAGTCATCACCATTATCCATAGTAGGGAACTCTTACTCATTTTTGTAGAGTTTGCATCTTTTACAAGAACGTGTTGCTTTTAAAGTAAAAATGGAGGAGGATTACAACCTCAGGCTTTGCTCTAGTTCTGCGACACTAGACAAGTATACCTTTTTTTTTTTTGCCATCTTTAAATGAGGATAATTGATAGTGCCTCTCTCAAAGCATGATTATAAACATTGAACAAATGCATGTGTTTATTGTGTGTATTTGTGTTTTTTCAGATTTTGTGCAAAACAAGCACTATACTAAGTGTTGGCTGTTAATTTCACTAGTTACACGTGTCCTAAGGTGTGAAGGGTAAAATTAGACTTCAAAAACCAAATGAAATGCTCCGTGTTGTTTTACAGATTAGATATGGTACTACCAGATAGGTTTGAAAGTATAACCAAGTTAATATTCTTAATGAAGTATAATGCACTACTTAGAACAGACAGAAGTTTCTGAAAGATGTACAGTATAAAATAAAAAACAGGCCATTTGCTGTATTAATAGGTTAACCCCCTGGTTCTCACACAGTGCCTTTGCTCACTGCTGTTTTGACTAGATTGACATGGCCTGTGGTAAAAATCAGTTGATAGTACTTAATTCACCAAAGGAAAAAAGGTAAAAGAGTCAAACTTCATTTCTCAAATGTCTCCCATTTCAAACAATCGGTTCTTGACCAAGTTGTTCAGTTTTCTACCTGACAACCCTTTCAGGCTGATACCTTAGCATGACAAAAAGTCTCTGAGACAACCAAGGAGAGATTGCTTTTGTTGCTGGCAAAATTAAATGATTAGCACAATTTTAAAACATAGACTATCAAGAGTGCTAATGATGCTAAAGGTATGAAAGTGTTCACAAAATAATCACAGGCAATTGAATAGGTAGAAAAACTGTTGTTGATTGGATAAATGAAAAGCAGTTAGCCAGTGATAGCATTTCAGAAGCAGCGACATATTAAACTTTTGTTTAAGGCCCGCCTTTGTGGCTCAGTGGTTGAGTGTCGACCTATGAATCCCAGGAGGTTAAGGTTTGATTCCCCATCAGGGCATATGCACTGGTTGTGGGCTCAATCTCCAGTGGGGTGTGCAGGAGGCAGCCGATGAGTGACTCTCTCTCATCATTTGTTTCTCCCTCTCCCTCTCTAAAATTATTAAAAGTATACATTAAAAAAATTCATTTAAGGATACTAGGGGATGGTTTGATAAATTTAAGAAGTGTTTATTTATAAATTAAACAGTACATTGGACATGTACTATAAGTAAGGTTAAAACAGTCATTTGGGAGTCTGGAACATATTAATTCAATTTACATTATTTTTAATGAGAAAAAATGATTGTTTTCAAACAAATAGCTTCTCAAACAGCCTTCTGGAATTAATGAAGTTCGAGAACCGGGGTTCCGCTATAATAGTATTTTCTCATGTTTAAGGATTTCCCTCCATAAATTTATCCTAATTTTTAGTGTTTACTAGTATTCCTTCAAAAAGCAAAGACATTTAACTGTAAAATTGGAAATAATTATTTCCTGTTTTAAACTTTTTTCTTGGTTTGTAGTTTGTTTTGGGGAGGACATGTGCTTCTGTTTGTGAGTTGAAATTGCAGATATATAAGATAGTCATATTTTGTTGTTGAAGTAAACATGTCTCTGATGTGGATGTTCCCCTACCTTGCACGCTACAGTTTATGGGTTAAAGCACCACTGGCTTACAAGGCTTTAGACTGCGTTTATTTACTGAGCTGTTGTAATATCACAAAGATGTTCCTTTAGTTGTGTTTTTAATCTAGAATACCTTTTTCCTTTATGCTGTTTCATTTCTGGTTCATATTTACATGATGTACTATATAGTACATAATGTGCTATATATATACATAGTGTAAATGGAATGTGGAATGGATAGAAAATATAAAATAGATCTTCAAAGAGGTCTAATTTCAGAAATGTTGCCTTTTGAAATGGTTAGAAATGAAAATAACTTTCACGTATGAGTCATTTGAATGCTTTTATGTCATAGTTGTGTCTTAGCTTAAAATTCTCTATCTTATAAATTAGTAATAATCTGTGCATTGCTTTATTGCTTCATCTTTAACTTGTCCATAGTCCCAGGTATATGGCTCTGATAATGTGATATCACTGGAAGTGACTGAAAAATGTTTGCAGTTGATTTCTTCCAAACTAACTTTTGTGGGTTTTACATACTCCTATAAATTAGGTAGTAAAAAATATCTTATTGTGACAATTTATTCACTGAAATTAATCTGTGCTTTCCTAAAGCTCCAAACAGGGAAATAAATGATATCTATTTCTATAGTTATACTTCAAAAAAAAAAAGAAGAAACCTGTGAGTTTCTGTGGGTTGTGGTAGAAATACTGAGTACATGGTAGAACTTTTGTTAACAATATATGTTACATCAAAGAGAGGCCACATGAAATTGTAAATTGTTAAAATAGAAGCCTGATTAGGATATAAGTCCCAGAGATTGGAGTCATGATGCTCAGGACTGTTACTTGGTTGTGGCCACAAAAAACAGAACCATGTGAGATGTTCCATGTCCTGGAATACCATGCTCTGAAACTCCCCCTCTCCCCACTCCAATTCCCAACCCTTACACTGTGTCAATTTTGCACTAATGTAAAAGGAGATATTTTAAAAGGTTTTATGAATGATAGGGTAAGTAGGAACTGATATAGAATGTTTGGAACCCTATCAGAGTTCCTTTTCCATTATAGCTCAGTGGCTTGGTACTGCCAAGAAATGGTTTATTTCAAGTTTTATGGATATTTCCTATGGAACCAGTGTATGTTTTCTTTCTTTTTATCCAGTTTTTTTTCCTTATAGTAACTTTAAAATGCAACATTTCAGACATTTAAAATCATCAAAATTTATTTCTATGGTAGAAATACTAGTACATGCTATGAAAAGATATCCAAAACACACCCATTTATGAAGAGGCATTGTTTGTAAGAACATGGTATCAGATCCTAGCTTAGCTAATCAACTCAAAAGTAGTGTCTGTCTCATTAGGTTATGGGGATTAAATGAGTTAATATATGTAAAGTACTCAGAACAGTACCTGGCACATACGGGAGCATCAGGATACAGAATAATGTGAATATATGACACCATTTATTAAAAACTTTATATATACACCTCGGTGTGTGTGTGTGTGTATATATATGCATATATATATATATATATATATGCATATATATGTATGTATGTATATGTATGTATGTGTTCTATTTGGATATAGAATATGGTGGATAAAATTATCTGGAAGAATAAAATTGGAAATGGTTTCTTTGAGTAAGGGGATAGAACAGCGAACCTTTTGAGCTCGGTGTGTCAGCATTTTGAAAAACCCTAACTTAACTCTGGTGCCGTGTCACATATAGAAATTTTTTGATATTTGCAACCATAGTAAAACAAAGACTTATATTTTTGATACTTATTTTATATATTTAAATGCCATTTAACAAAGAAAAATCAACCAAAAAATGAGTTTGCATGTCACCCCTGACACGCATGTCTAAGGTTCGCCATCACTGGGATAGAACCTGGAGTAGAAGGGAAAGATATATGTTGTTGTCAACTTTTTGAACTGTTCTTTTTTTTTTAACCATATATTTTTAAAATAATGCCATGTTTCAAGTACTAAGAGATTCTACTCTAAGACAAGAATCTATGCTCTTTTTAGATGGTCCTGCTGAGGCACCAGTGACCAATGGGAACACAACTACAGTGCCACCCCTGAATGATGATCTGGACATCTTTGGACCAATGATTTCTAATCCTTTACCTGCAACTGTCATGCCCCCAGCTCAGGTATGTTGTAAGAGTATGGTTTTACACAATCACTACTTACTTCCTTTCTGAAAAGTTTCAGAATTTCTATCGCTGATTTGAAAGCCTCCTGTTCTTTAGTCCAGGGGTTGGCAAACTAAGCCTGTAGCTTGTTTGCACATAGTTTTATTAGAACACAGCCACTCCCAGTCATTTGCATATTGTCTGTAGCTGCTTTCCTACTAAAAAGCAAGTTGAATAGTTCCAACACTATATGACCCACAAAGCCTAAATATTCACTGCCTAAAGTTTGCTAACGTTTGCTTTAAACAACAGTGTTTAGAATGAACAAGTAGGAAAACTTGCTGGGGTCCAGCCCCAGCAGGTCCAGGGGTCCCCAAAGGTGTGGATGGAGTCAGCGAAGAAGGAATGACACGGAGACAGCGTTCAGTTGATCAGCAGCCTAGCCAGGATCTCTAGCCAGGATCTCCAGCCAAGTTCTGGTCTGGATCTCCAGCAAAGTTCTGGTTAGGATCTCCAGCCAGGTTCTGTGTCCATGTTCTCTTGCTAGGTTCTCCAGCCAGGTTCAGTCACCAGGTTCTAGTCAGGTTCTCTTGCCATGTTCTGTCCAGGTTCTGTAGCCAGGTACTGTCTCTAGGTTCTTCAGCCAAGTTCTCTCGCTAGGTTCTGTCTCTAGGTTCTGTGTAGGTTCTGTCTTCTTGGTTCTGTGTTCTTAGTTCTGTGTCTTGCTGTCTTGTTACATCTGTATTTATACCAGTTGATTCAATCCTATCAATCTCTATTACAAAGGTTAGGGCGTTTCTTATCTCCATTCCAGGGAGTAAAGATTATGTAGCTTAAGCATGATTGTTCGTAGTTAAAGTGATTAATTACCCGCCTGGCACTTAGTTGAGGGGTTTTATTCCCTCCCTAACTTCAGGGGAAAATCCCTACCTGGGGAAGCAACCTTTCTCAGAGAGGAGACCTTGGTTAAAACACATAGTGCCAAGAAGGTGAGCAAACATATTAAGAACAGTATGTCATATATGCCAGGTCCTTTGAAACAGCAAGGATGGACTGGCTCCCGGCAAAAACTCAGACTACTATTTCAGCCTTGTCTGAGATCATCAAGGCCACTTACCTCTGAGGATTTTAAACTGGGGGTGTATAACTATTGACTGGCAGCCAGTACTTCTTTTCTTATGCTCTATTGAGCCATCCCCAAGATACTATTTACTTCTGATTGCAGTAAAACAGAATAAGAAATTCTAGCAAATTCAGTATTCATACTCTTTTTTATGAAGATAAATTGTTTTAAGTTAGCCTTAAAACCTACCTTCCTTTTTTATTTTGGTGATGTTTAAAAAAACAATTGAGAACATAATATTAATGATCAGGACTTTTTCTTCAGCATTAATGGTAAATTTTGAATTGCCTTCTGAACATTACATGGAATTTCTATTTTTGCCTTTATTAAAATTATAAATTGTTTAATACCTTAAATACTATTTCAGGTATAGTATTTAATACATTAAATACTATAACTGACAAAATTGTAATATATTTTAAATGCATAACGTAATGACTTGATAATGCCAGTGGTTCTTGTTCCGGCATCTAGAGTTCAGAAATCTGGAGAAGGGCTGTGCGAAAATTAAATAAGAGTCCAGAGATGAAACATAATTTTGAAAGGCATTATAGGTAGTCAGAGAAGACTTAGCTAAAGGAACTAAGTTCTCCTTGTCTCAGGACCCCTTGCTTTTTATTAACACAATTTGTTCTAAGCGAGGTAGATATACACATCAAAGGCCAGGGTTAGGTACAGAATCCATTGTCAGATTGGCGAATTGCCTTCGGCTGTTCAGATGTTCGGCCAACAGGAGGTAATAACATGCAGATTAAGATGCCATGAGCTGTCTGGCAGCAAGCAATCATCCCTTTTCAGGTTTGGGGAAATGCTCTTGCCACTCCAGATGATTCAGCCCTTGCTGACATGCTGGAATTGGCTTCTGGCAACTTGATATTATGTATACATTGTGAAAGGATTCCCACCATCAAGTTAATTAACACATTTTTATTTTTTGGGGGGATGGGGAAGGACACAAGTTCTACTCTCTTAGCAAATTTCCATTATACAATCTATAATAATAAAAGAGTAATATGCTAATTAGACCAGATGAAGACAGGGCTGCAAGGGAAGCCGGTGCCGGCAACCAGGGGAAGGAAGGCCTACTCTTGCACGAATTTCGTGCATCGGGCCTCTAGTATAGATTAATCAGCTGTAGTCACCATGTTGTTATGCATTAGATCCTCAGACCTTATTCATCTTATAGGTGAAAGTTTGTACCCTTTTACCAGGCTCAGGCTCCCTATATTTCCTCCATACCCAGCCTCTGCAACCACCATTCTGTTCTGTTTCTATGAGTTTGATTTTTTAAAAATTTTTTACACATATAAGTGATAAATGTAGTCATTCAGTATTTGTCTTTCTTTAAGGTGAAATATATGAACTTTCAGGAATATTGATTACTCTTAAGCATACAACTAAGATTCTATGTTAAACTTACACTTTACAAATAAGCAACTAGTTTGGTTCATTACAGCATAATTTTTGAGGTAAAATATTTTTCTTTTCTCTAGAAAAACTGGACCAATAGGAATTGTTTGGATGGAAAGTTTTAATAAGATAGAAGTTATGTCTTATTGAGAAGACTAATTACATGTATTTTTATTACATATATTATAGTCACTGTATAATTACCACTAGAGTTGAGCAAATAGATTCCTTAGGAATAGTTTAAATGGATCTTTATCATTAATATTTATTTTTAGAAAAGAACTTTATGGGGAAAGCAGTTTCTTTTGGTCTAACATTCTAGTGAGGTTGTTTTATCTGCTAGACTTCTTTAGATACCGTTGGAGTATGAATTGCTCTGCACCTGCCTGGAGAATTAGACCCCCACATCTGAGGCTTTGGTGTACTTCATGTGTTCTGCTTAGTAGCAGAGCAGCAAGGGGGAACAATGCAGACCATTTAACGCTTAAGTATCGCCATGACGAGGAGTGTGTGTGCATAGCTTTTGCTGGCAAGCACTGTATACAAGAAAGGTTAAAATGGAGAATCATTTGAGTTTCTAAAATGGATTAATTCAATTTACATTATTTCTAATGGGAAAAAATGATTCCATTTTCAAACAAATAACTTCTTGTACAGTTCTTCTGGAACAAATTCGAGAACCAAGGTTCCACCCTACTACCTGTTTGCAAGATAGAGATTAAGTGAAAATTTTTGTTTTGTATTGAAGTCTACATTTCTTTGCATTTGTGTTCATTTGCCCCTTGTCCAAAAGTGGAATACAAGATATGGTTGAGAGTGGGGGTGGTTAAAGTATTGCTGTCCTTCATTTTTGGATAGATTAGAAGCATTCTAAGGTTGTGGTTAAAACTGATCTAGATTAGGTTTATAAGAATATCACAATGCAGCTTTTGAAGAGCCTCCGCCCCCCCACCCCCGGACAAAAGCAGCCTTTGCAGGACCCTCTTACAGTCTTCTGTAGGTGTAGAAATGTTCTTTAATCCAAGGGATACCAGTTCATTGAAGTAGTTGCTAAGGGAGATGCCTCAGCACCTCCCGGGAATGGTGATGCTCAGACACAGCCACATACCCTACCTGTTGACCCCATTGTGGTCAGGATGGGATGCAAAAACTCAGCATCAGTCTAGCAGGTAAACAAAATTTATTATGTACTAGTAAGAGTTTTTATTTTAAAAAATACATTTTTATTGATTTTTAGAAAGAGAGGAAGGGAGAGGGAGAGAGAGGTAGAAACATCCCTGATGGGAGAGAATCGTGGATCGGCCGCCTCCTGCACACCCCCCCACTGGGGATCAAGCCCATGACCCGGGCAAGTGCCCTTGACCAGAATCGAACCTGGGACCCTTCAGTGTTCAGGCCGATGCTCTATCCACTGAGCCACACCGGCTAGGGCCCATGATTCTCTCTCCCTCCCCCTTCGTCTCTGAGATCAATAAACATGTTTTTTAAAGCCACAATCAAACAAGCCGGACGCTCGCTTGAAGAGTTTCAATCTATCTTTTCTACATTAATACATTCAAAATAGTAAATATCATACCTTTATCCTAAATGTTTTTGGGTGGCATTGTGAATGACCCTCTTTAATGCACCATTTTACCTTCTACAAGTTGTTGAATTTCTAATTTCATAACTTCACATGGATTTTAAGTAATGGATGAGTCATGTTTTAGTATGCACAATTCGATAGTGTGTTTTGGCATTTGTCTCAGGGGACGTCCTCTGTACCAGCAGCTGCCACTGTGTCTACAGTAACATCTGGGGATCTGGATCTATTCACGGAACAAACGACCAAGTCAGAAGAGGTGACAAAGAAACAACTCTCCAAAGACTCCATCTTGTCCTTGTATGGCGCAGGGACCGTGCAGCCACAGAGCGCTCCTGGTAATTCATTTTGAAGTCTTGCTTTCAGGGACTGCAGTGGCATTACTGGAAGTGAGCCTTTGTGGTTATAATATATCAATTATGTTTCTTCCCCATTTTTCTATGTAATGAGTGTTTTTGTTGTTGCAATTTACACAACTACAAAACTGAAATGAATAAAACATTAGAATTAAAAAGCAGGTACAGGAGTCACAGAACTTTATTCATTTAGATTAACAAGCTGTTCACATATCACTTAATGTTTCACAAGCTTTTAGGACATAGATTATCTTTGAATAATAATTTAAATTTGATTTGCATGAAGTTTTTAACTGTACAGCATGGTATTTTCTCTGCAAGTAAACAATAAGCAGTCTGAATTATTACATGAATTCCAAAAAAGGTTTGAGATTTAAAAAATAATTATAATAAATACTAGCAAGGTAAGATTTGTTGTTTACACAGTTTTAATCTGTCAGACTACCTCTTTTAAAATAATGAGATCCCACCTGCTTCCCTTAAAGCCAGGCACAGTGAACTTGCACCTGTGTATTTGGTAGTGGGAGACCAGTGGGTTAGGTTAGCAGAAACAGCACATCATCTCATGCTATGCTGGTTGGTCTTCACAATGGATTTTTCTATGCATGTATTTATTCTAATTAAAATTGCTCAGGTTCATAACTGATTTGTCTGCTTCTGGAAATAACCAGCTCTGAGAGTGTAGGCTATGAGTTGGTCTGAGCAGTAGGAGCAGCCAGACCAGATTAAAAATTTTGCTATGGGTAGTTCAGAAAAATGGTAATTGTTTTTCTGTGATTATAGAATTGAGTGCAGCTATATACAGTATCCCTGTTCTCTTCATTTTCTTTTCATGGTTCTTATGATGCAGGTGTATTTATGGGACCCACAAATATACCATTTACCTCACAAGCACCGACTGCATTTCAAGGTTTTCCATCAATGGGTGTACCTGTGCCTGCAGCTCCTGGCCTTATGGGCAATGTGATGGGACAGAGTGCAAGCATGATGGTGGGCATGCCCATCCCCAATGGGTTTATGGGAAATGCACAAACTGGTGTGATGCCACTGCCTCAGAATGTGATTGCCCCCCAAGGAGGAATGGTTGGACAGATGGGTGCACCCCCAAGTAAGTTTGGACTGCCTCAAGCTCAACAGCCCCCATGGAACCTGTCCCAGGTAAGGGTCATTTATTCTCCACTTTATCCAGAATTGAAGAAATCAGACTTTCTAAATTGTTTTATTTGTATTTAAATCTAATCTGGTAGAAAGAGGAGGGATAATGAAGTTGTATCAGATAGATAAATGATCTGTCTTTGTCCCTACTTAATAAAGAAATGTGAAGTATTTTTCATTTCCAGTATAACTGTAATCTAGTTATAAGAGCTAGAAATTATCTTGGCATCCTAAGAAACTCCCTATCACCTTTGAAATTAGTAATTTGCTTTAACCCAGCTCCCTGATGGGGCGTTTGATAGTCTACTTTGGACCAACCTGTCTTTACTAATTTGGGAAGGGGTGTAGCTTTCATAAATTAGGGAAAAAATCTAGGCTACTCTTCATGATTTATGAAAAATCTTTTTGTTCAAAAACCTCTATAACATTGTATTTCCTTTTTACTTACCCTGTAATTAGGTTTATATTTAGAAAGCGTACCCACTAGTTCAAGAATTCCCATAAGATATGGACAAGTCCATATTTGTTTCAGACATCCCTTCATATTATAAAATCCTGTTTCTACCTAAGTTATTTTAGTGCCAAGATAGGACACATTACCAATACACTACCTTCTTCAAATGAGTTTCTCTATATTAGGTGCTCTGTCCTAACTTTTCTTCCCTTTACACTCTTTGATAAGATCCCACCTGCTTCTAGCATTTTGGCTCATGTTCTGGTCAGGTGTTTCACCTTGAGAGCAAAGAATAGTCAATAGTGATTTCTAACCAACATTAGCAAAATCACTATATAGCCTATGAATGCTCCAAGTTATTTTTACTATTTAAAATATATTACACTGGTCTCTAACCTCTGGGGATCTAAAAAATGGTAAGTACCAAATGGCAGTAACAGCTTGTGCGTGCCAGAATGCTGAAGTAAGCTCAGGTTAAGGTGCTGGATGAACCAGGAAGGAGTTGACCCTTACTTCCAGGCTTGCTGAAGGCTGTTCTCCAGCACTCCCTGCATGAGAGCCACTGGCCAATGACAAGGTGGTTAAAACAACCTTGAGTAAGTATCAGAAATGATCCTCCGCTATAGACACTTATGTCTCATTAGAGTGATGTAATTCACATTAGTGTCTTTGAAAAACCGCAAACAATACAATCCAACCCTGAGCATAGGTTTTAACTCCACTTTGTACTTAATCCTCGTCTTTCCTTAACCTGTCATCTTGGAGGTAAGAACCACAAGGAAAGGGTTAAGATGCTTATATACATACATGACTCCAGTGGAAGAAAACACATTAAATCTTATACCTTATCAAATAATGAAAATTTTAGATGTTTTACCTTTTCTTTAATATTTACAAAGTATATAGAACCATTTAAGATGTTAATAAAAGCTACAATACTCAATTTCTAATTTTGGAGTATTTTACCTTCTAAAATTTCCTTAGTTTTTAGCAATACTTGAGTTGAAAGAACAGTGGACTCATTATACCTAGATACAAATTGAAAGATTGCTTTGGCACTTTTTTTTTTTTAGTTGTGGTTAATCTTTTGGGGCAAGAAATTGAGTAAACATAGTACAGTGCTAAAAATGGGAAGAAAGCTGTAGTTGCTTTCTGCAAAGAAATAAACGTGATGGTTGGCTTTGACGGATTTTTACATGGACAAAAAAATACTTATTTTAATTGCTATTAAGCTTCAGTATCTCTTTGAGGCAGCTTCCAATAAAATCGGGTAACTATTTAAAAATGTCTAACTGTGGTTAAAGAAATAAGAATTAAAAGTGAAGTGAGCTTCTTAAACTGAGCCCTGTGTTATCTCACAGGTGAACCAGCAGATGGCTGGCATGAGTATGGGCAGTGCGAGCCCTGCGCTGGGTTTTGCCCAGCCCCCCAGCACGACAGCAGGATGGTCTGGAAGCTCATCGGGTCAGACTCTCAGCACACAACTGTGGAAGTGAGGACTGCACACGAGTTTCATCCAGAGCTACCACCTACATTCCTTGCTGAAATGCATCTAGTTCCCCTGTTTATTCATGTACATATATATTTTTTCTTTTTCCCCATTTGTTCACATTAAGAATTATCTGATTGACTGTGTTGGTTTGTACTGATTAAATTTGATGTGATGAAAAGCAGGTTGAGAAACTATTTCATGTCCAGGGCAGCTTTGCTCATAGTTCTCATAACTTCATAAACCACATTTGAGAAGCTGCAAAGTCAACTTGCATAATCAGTTTTACTCAGTAAAATTATAGCTCTAATGTTTGCATATAAGGAAAATAGTTATCATGTTAGTAATACCTCTAACAGTATAAACCCCACCCCCAAATTAGCCAGTAATCTTGTAGGAAGGTACTGTATGATCAAATGGTTAATCATAAATAGAATGTAAATGTATCACTGAGCACTGTTTTCTAGTGTATCAAAATTTTTATTTCATCATTTCCTTCACTGTGCTATTGTTATGATGTGCTTAACAGGGAACGTGGTTAGTGAAAGGAAGATAAACCTGGATGTTACTGTAAAACTTAGTTTAACAAATATTTAAAGAATTTGAATTTTATCTGCCTCTTGTAATTTGGATCTCCTCTTATGTACATAGTGCTAATATGACGACCTTTCTCTGCACTATATGCAAACAGGGTAACTAAACAAAGCCACTTTCAGTCCTTGAAGGTATATCCAGGTTTATGACAGTAATTGTGTTTACATTTTATGGTGCCTAGTATTGACAAAATGTTCTATCCCTATATTAAATAGATGGATCCATAGACTTTTTTTGTGGGTTTCATTTCCTACAGTATATACTGCCACCAACCTTACATAAATTAATGTTGCTAAGTCAGGAATTGGGGACAAAATACTTGTCATCTGTTTCTAAAACCTGTTCAGTTCTACCAATTATAAGGCCAAATGGGGAAAAAAAAGAAAAGTATATAAGATACTAAAAATGGTACCTGCAGTGTCATTAGCTGTACTGTACAAAGATCTTCCAGTTTAGTTGTGGAGAAAACATGCAGAACAAATGAAGACAGAAACACATTTTATACCAACTGATTAGCTTATGTTAACTGACAAGCTCTGTTTAAACAGATGTCCATCAGATGTCAATAAAGGCTGTTGTACTGAAGTAAAATGAACAATACCTGAATGCTCTGTAGCCTAACCTCCAAACGTCCTCTTCCACACCCACTGCTGCTCCCAGTTACACCTCGATCTTCACTGTGTCCAGGTGGTACTTGGGCTCGTTGGCTAGATTGACCTTCTCTGTGCGAGTGTGCCACACAAGGACCTAGGGAGGGAGGGAAATCTCTGGGGTAGCCAGCCTCAATGCCAGCATGCAGCCACATCAAGCAGCACATGAGACATGAATACCTTCGTGCAGTTATTTGCTTTCGGTTCCAGTTCTTCAACAGTTGTTATCTGTTTTAGAAAGTCAGATTCTTGCATCCCTGGCTGGGATCCACGGCGCTTAAATACAGCTTTTGGATTGGACAAGATGACTTGAAGGCTTACAGCAAATCCTTTGTGAGAAGTTTTTAAAAAACACAAAAAGAGAGAGACTTTAAAATATTGGTATACTTTTCTTTTTCTATATAAAACTTTGGTCACATGAAGAGCGATTCTATATGCTACTATGTGCCAGGTCCTACTTCACAAAGTTGAAAAGGAGCATTACCTGTATTACAGTCTCAAGAAGAAAAGCAGTCTTTACAATATAACGAGCTCGATGCCTTCACAGAGGTGTACACCGGCGGGGTGCGGGTGGGGATCTGTAAAAAGTCTAGTCTTGATAATAAAGGGTAGATTCTACAAGCTGCTATTTCACAGAAGTCATCACACCCAACATTTGACACTGGGGACAACTAAGACCTAAATGTAGCGGAAAAGCATTCACATTCAGCCTAATTGAGCTTGAGGTAATTATGTGAGAGCCCGCCCAGTTCTGCCTCCTTTAACATCTCTGTGTGCACTTATCAAAACCAGCGCTGGTTTTCTTTGAGTTTAGAAGACAGGGATAAAAGGAAAGTTAGTTTGCTAGAACATGAATAATAATCGGTTGGTTGATTTCTGATTTGGTTCAATCTGAAAAATGTGGGTGGGTTGGAAATCAGTGTAGGATATATTAAGCCATTTAATAAATTTGGTTTTTTATATTTCATTTAAAAAATACGTAGTTTTATTGATTTCATAGAGGAAGGAGAGGGAAAGAGAAACATCAATAAGAGAATAATTGATTCGCTGCCTCCTGCATGCCCACACTGGGGATTGAGCCCGCAACCCGGGCATGTGCCCTGACCTGGGATGAAACTGACCTGGTTCATAGGTTGACACTCAACCACTGAGCCATGCAGGCTGGGTGATATATTTCTTTCTTTTTTTTTTTTTTAAGGAAATTATTGTCAATTTCCTTTAATGGTTTGGTCATAGGAAAGATAATTACTATTTAATCTGTAGTTTAACAGAGTGTCCCTTGCTTTCCCATTAAACACTCTATAAGCTATCTGAGCAAACAGATGTTAAGACCTTTGTAACTGAAAGCCTGAAGCCCAGCCCGCTGCTGTTAATGTCTAAGCCGACACTAAAGTTAGGCTGTGAGGACCTCCCCGTGTTAAAGCTATGAGGACCAACCCCTAGGAACATTGCTTAGCAACTTTTGCCCTTCTCTACATTAATGGAATTGATTTATGCTTATTTTTGCACAAGTATAGTTTGCAAAGTAAGGACCACATGGGGGAACTGTGAGGAAAACCACAACCAGCATTCTCATAACCTCTCCAGATGCAAGGCGGGCCAGTCCCATGTTCTAGACGCTGCTGTCTTTATGGGAAAACTTCCCACTGAGCTACAAACACCTTGGGACAGCGTGTGCCGAGCAAGACAGGACAAAGGATCATAAAGCATGAGCCTGAGGACTGGTCCGAGCACATTTCACCAACCCTGGGAGAGGCAGCACGTTCTAGCAGAAAGACCACAGAATCTGAAATTTGGAGCCTTTTGGTTTTGCCTGGGTCCCTGCACCTGGGACACTGGTCAAGTCCCTTCACCTTTCTTGATTCTGAAACTTGCCCCGTTTCTCATCTGCAAGCGAGGTGCGGTACCTTCTCAACTCGGTGTCTGACGTAAAATTTGTGAATGGAAAAACACTAACTGCAAAGCTCCCTCCAAAAGACACACTATATAAATAATACCACTGTAAATATCGTGAGGGGCAGCTGACAGGGAAAGGGCTTGTGAAAGTCTAGGTAGCCTGCCAGGCCACCTCGTTTCCCGCCACTTTGCTAACAAGTCTGAAGCCTCCTCAACCAAAAGCCAAGGTTCAAATTCACACACAAAGCGTGACTTTTCTAGTAGGTCAGCTCCAATTTTAGTATTAAAAGGCTCCTGGCTTTTTTTGTGAGCTAGTAAATACGCTTCAGCTTTGTTTCCTTCTCCCTCCCACTGAAGTGGCTGGTCTGTTTCTCACGTGGTTTTCATGGTGTTGGTTGTATTTCCTCATTCTCATAAAAATACAGGGTCCAAACTTGATTTCCTTCATTCCCCACTGAGACTTCAGCACACTCACTCAGATTATTTTCTTGCTCTCCTTGGCGCAGGGATATCCGTTAGCTTTTAAAGCAGAGTCCCATGGCAAGTCTGCAGCTTGAAGCGGAGCAGCCAGCCAGCAGTGGGGCCAATCACTGTTGCTCCAAGGCCCTTTCCTGGATTCCCCGGACAAGGGGATGGGCCTGCAAGGCTGGCACCCTGCAGAGGGCTGAGTGGGCAGCTGACCATAGGAGCCAAGTGGTGGTCTATTTTCTATCACGCTGAGGGGTGGGGCAGTTCAGATGCTCTTCACTCCCACCCCCACTTTCTCTGCCAGGCTCCAGCTCAGTGAGCCCTTCGAAGGAGGCAGGTCACAGGGAGCACAGCACACAGGGGCAATGTTAACTAGGCCAAGCCCTGGTTGTCTTTTGGGGAATCATGTGACCTGCTGTGAAGCCTGGGAGAGAGCTCTCCCTCTGGAAGCAGGATTTTTAGCTCCTAAACCACTGCTTTCAACCCAAGACGGGTATCTTGACTTGTCTTCATTTCAAACTGTATATGCCTCAAATATTACATTTCCCCTTCACTATTTTTAGTGAAATTAATTTAGCTTTAAAGATGTTTGCAGCGGCTACTGAGATACTATGAGCCTTACAAAAATCATGGGAGTAGGATCCTCTGTCCTGGTCCCGTGCATAAAAAATAAAATACAAATGGAACCTGGTTATGCTGTGAATGCAGCATTTCCTGACTTGCAGTGGCATGGGGGACGGGTAAGGATATATCTCCTCTCGGTCAGAGGGTCAGGGCCTGCTTTAGTAGGTGCTTACTGATTAATAAATGGAAACATTTGGAAGACATTCAAAGTCCAACAAGTAATTTCCACTTGGGGACAAGATGGAGCAACAAGGGCTGAGTTTTCCCTACTGTCTTACCTAAATCTAGAGAAAATGTTTGAAAAAACGATTTCTAGACATTGGAAAAGAGGCGTGCAGGACAAAGATCTCTGAAAAAGAAAAAAAGAAAAGAAAAACAAGTCCTACATTTGCCTCAGCTTCTTGTCTGAAGGGAGCAGCCCACAGGCTCCACCGTGGGGAGGGAGCTCACAGCTCTGCAGGCCCTAAAGCTGAGGAGACAGCAGAGAATCCCAGGAGGCCGAGCCGGGAGAATCCACAGTACAGAGCACGGGAGAGAGCCGCTGGCCTGCAGAGGGCTCCCCTCACGTCCAACTGAAGATCAGAAAATGCTCTTGTAACTCCCTGCGGCCCAGGAAAGAGCCTGGAGAGAAGCAGGTGGTCTGGTTCTTGCAGCTCACTCAGGGCTGGGTTGGGTCACATTCCCAACAGCCAGAGTGGAATGGTAGTCGGGGCACCTGGCAGAGGAGCTGGAAGATTGTTGTGTTCACTGTGGGGTCACATTAGCCCTAACCTAAAGGTTGCGCTGGTCCTGCCTATCAAACCTTTAAGAGCAAGCCCGGAAAGGATCGCAATGCTTCTGAATAACTTAGTTGTATCCCAGAAAAATGTAAAATACACATAAAGGGGAGGCAGTTCAGATGCGCTTCACTCCTAATCTGGATGTGTGTGTAAATGTATGGTATACATAATATATAACACAAATAAACATGTATCTTTACAGTACCTAGCAACAAAACATTCAAAATGCCTGATACAAAAATTCCCAGGTGTACAAAGAGGCAAGAAACTATAATCCTGTAATTAAAAGAAAAATCAGTCAACAGAAACAAACCCAGAAATGACACTGGTGACAGAATTATAGAACAAGGGCATTAAAACATTATAAATATTCTTCATATATTCAGAAAGGTAGGGGGAAGACTGAACATGCCAAGTAGAGATATGGAAGGCATAGAAAGTCGTAAAGTGCTGGCCACAGTGGCTCAGTGATTGAGCGTGGACCTATGAACCAGGAGGTCACTGTTTGATTCCCAGTCAGGGCACATGCCCAGGTTGTGGGTTCAACCCCCAGTAGGGGGTATGCAGGAGGCAGCTAATCAATGATTCTCTCTCATCATTGATGTTTCTATCTTTCTCCCTTTCCTTTCCTCTCTGAAATCAATAAAAATATATTTAAAAATATAAAATAGCCGAACCGGTTTGGCTCAGTGGATAGAGCATCAGCCTGTGGACTGAAGGGTCCCAGGTTCTATTCCGGTCAAGGGCATGTACCTTGGTTGCGGTCACATCCCCAGTAGGGGGCATGCAGGAGGCAGCTGATCGATCTCTCTCATTGATGTTTCTCTCTATCCCTCTCCCTTCTTCTCTGTAAAAAATCAATAAAAAATATATATATATATAAAAAGACCCAAAGCAATCCCATTGTGATGAAAAATACAATGTCTTGAGATGAAAAACCTACTGGCTAGGATTAACACATGATAACACATTAGAAGACAATGACAGAAACTACTAAAAGGAAACACAAACACACGTATGTGAGTACAGAAACAGTAAAGGAATGAAAGGTGGGAGAAGGGACTAGAAACGTATATTTGAAGAAATAACTGAAAATTTTACAATTTAAAAAAAATCCATACGGATATACTATAAGACAGACAACACTAACAACCAACTTGACATTTACAGAGCAAGCCGCCCAAGGGCAGCAGAATACACAATCTTTTCAAGTATACATGGTACTTGAGATAAGCTTATGGCAGGGCCATGAATCAAGTCTCAATAAATTAAAAAGAATACAAATTGTACAAACTATTTCTCTGACCACATGGAATTAAAAGAGAAATCAATAATATAAAGACATCTGGAAAATCTAATATTTGGAAACTAAACAACATAATTCTAAAGATACGGCTCAAAGGAAGAATCAAAAGGGAATGAATACAGAAAAAGCCACCAAAATCTACAGGCGGCATCTACAGCAGTACTTACATGGACAATGAGTATTTTTTTAAAGTACTAAACACTTTTATTAGATAAAAAGAAAGGTCTTAACTCAATGTCTTAAGTTCCTACCTTTA